GTTGACCTGGTATGATCACAGGTTCTCTCCTCACTTGTTGACCTGGTATTGGATTCACGGTTCTCTCTTCACGTGTTGACGCTGGTATTGATCACGGTTCCTCTCCTCACTTGTTGACCTGGTATGATCACGGTCTCCTCACTTGTTGACCTGGTATTGATCACGGTTCTCTCCTCACTTGTTGACCTGGTATTGATCACGGTTCTCTCCTCACGTGTTGACCTGGTATTGATCACGGTTCTCTCCTGTATTGATCACGGTTCTCTCTTCACGTGTTGACCTGGTATTGATCACGGTTCTCTCTTCACGTGTTGACCTGGTATTGATCATGGTTCTCTCTTCACGTGTTGACCTGGTATTGATCACGGTTCTCTCTTCACGTGTTGACCTGGTATTGATGACGGTTCTCTCCTCACTTTTTGACCTGGTATTGATCACGGTTCTCTCTTTACGTGTTGACCTGGTATTGATCATGGTTCTCTTTTCACGTGTTGACCTGGTATTGATCATGGTTCTCTCTTCACGTGTTGACCTGGTATTGATCATGGTTCTCTCTTCACGTGTTGACCTGGTATTGATCACGGTTCTCTCTTCACGTGTTGACCTGGTATTGATCACGGTTCTCTTTTCACGTGTTGATCTGGTATTGATCACGGTTCTCTCTTCACGTGTTGATCTGGTATTGATCACGGTTCTCTCTTCCTTCCTGTGTCCTCTGTCAGGAGGTGGAGACTGTGGTGAAGGCCTCGGTTCAAACCCCCAACTCCGGGGATATCCACATGGAGCTGGGGAACACTCAGAGAACCCAGAGGAACCCCCTACAGCTCCCCCTCACACAGCAGACCAACCCACAGGAGATTTTTGTGCCCCCGGAAAGAGGTGAGGTTCCCTCCTCTTCTTCTTCTGTGGCAGTAAATCATGCCTCTGACGTTCTGTGGTTCTCCTCTTCTTCTGTGGCAGTAAATCATGCCTCGGACTTTCTGTGGTTCTCCTCTTCTTCTGTGGTAGTAAATCATGTCTCTGACGGTCTGTGGTTCTGCTCTTCTTCTGTGGTAGTAAATCATTTCTCTGACGTTCTGTGGTTCTCCTCAGATCAGACCTCCGTCTGGTTACCTGCCAACAAAACGCTGTTGGAGCCAGAACCTGAATCCAAGATGGAGGAGAGCGCGGCGGTCAGAGCGCTGTACCAAAAACCCCTCGAGAGAACCCTGAAACATGAGTTCCTGTCAAAAACTGTAAGAACCAGAACCATAACTAAACCATCAGTACTACAGAGCAGGTGTGTTTGGTTAGGTTCTACAGACGGTTCAGGTGTGTTTGGTTAAGGTGTGTTTGGTTCTGCAGGTAGACTACAGACGGTCCAGGTTCTCTTTTGGTTCTGCAGGTGGACTACAGATGTTTCAGGTTCTCTTTGGTTCTGCAGGTGATCATGCCGGAGACCTGTTCTCTCTGTGGGAAGAGGATCCGGTTCGGCAGAATGGCGTTGAAGTGCAGAACCTGCAGAGCAGTTGCTCATCCAGAGTGCAAAATGAGGTTCAGCTCCGACTGTTCCACCATACCTCCTCAGGGGGGGGGGGCAACACAGGTAATGAGAGTATGTGAGGGGGGAAACAAGGGTAATGAGGGGCGTTAGTGATGATCGGGGGACAGAACAAGTGCCTTTATCCTGTAAAATCCTCCTCTGCAGAAACTCTTTGGAGGACTTCTCCCCGGGTGCCCCCCCCTGGGTTGCCCCACCTGGATGGTGGGGTGTGTCGCTGAGATCGACGAGGAGGAGGCTGCAGGAGGTGAAGAGGGGGGTCTTACATGCTAACAGTGTGGTTTCTACAGAGGGTCTGTACCGGGTTCCTGGGGGGAGGTCCTGCAGTGCTAAACAGCTACATGCTAACAGTGTGGTTCTACAGAGGGGCCTGTACGGTCCCAGGGGGGGAGCGGCTGGTGAAGGAGCTCAGGATGATGGTCCTGCAGGGGAAGACCCCCCCCTGGGGAAGGTGGCAGGACGTCCATGTTCTCTGTGGCTTCCTGAAGGACTTTCCTTGAGGAACCTGAAGGAACCCGCTGCTGACCTTCAGACTGCATCGAACTTTCATGGAGGACGCAGGTTAATTCATATATAACAATAATAACAAATAGTACTTTGGTAATATTATCCATTATAAGGCAACATACTGCAGTCATGTATTACCTGTGTATTTACCTGTGTATTCCTGCTTTTATTACTACTCGGGATGCCAGAAACTGACCATGATCAAATTCGAAATCGGACAGCCCCTTGCGAATATTAATCGATTATTTAAAATCAAATTTAAAAAAATTATTCGATTATGGAGGCTGTAACGGATATTCGAAAAATCGAATATCCGCTGCATCCCTAGTATTGGTACCTTTTGTATTTTACGTGTGTATTTACGTTTATTCCTGTGTATTAGAGCTGCAGGGATGAAAGACAGCAGTACTGCCAGCTGTGTACCGGGCCCTCTCTGAGCTATCCCCCCCCACAGAGACACCTGGCATTCCTTCATGCTCCCACTTACAAAAGTACTAACCCTCCCATGACACATGACTTTAAAGAAACCATGTTCTACATCCAATAAATATTAGTGGGGAAAAATATAACTCCTACAACTCAAAATGACTGGTTTCAGGTTGGGTACCGGGAAGGGCCCCCCCTGTCCAGATTGGACAGAAACAACTGTCCGGGTTTCCCTTTGGGACGACTTTTGGTGGGTCACGGGAGCACCCAAGAACCCCCCCGTTTCCCCCACCCACCCCCACCTGGAGGGAAACCAGCCACCCAGCCAAGGGGTTCCCCCTACCCCTATCCCCCTACTTTAACCTAGTATTCCCCTACTTTTTTAACTGCAAGTACCCAAGGGGGAACCCCCCTAAGTACTCTACTTTTTACCTAAAGAAAGAATCCCGAATTACTCCACCTTTTTACTCAGGACCCAGAAAAAAAAAGTAAAACCAGGAAATCCTGAGTTAACTTTCTTACAAGACATATTGAGTAAAACCTTTTACACATGAAAAAAATTGTGAGTAACTGTTTTCCCTTTTCCTTGGCCCAGGTGGTGTTTTTTTCGGCTGTCGCCTTGCCCCGTCTCCCCTGGAAAGTTAACCTTTGGGAAAAACGAGTTCCTCTCCGCCGCAGAAAGGAACCAGAATTCCGGGTTTCCTGGGTGTTGCCCCCAGGAAGGAACCAAACCAAAATCCCCGGTTTTCCCTTGGTCGGCTCGGGTCCACAACCCCGCTTGACGAGGTTGGGCCTTCCCCCCTTGCAAATCCGTTTTGAACTGAAAAACCAGAAAAAGCCCCCCCAGGTTCGGGTGGGGATCCCCAGAATCCTCAGGTTTTCTGGGAAATCCCAGTGGGGGGTTTTGTTTTCCCCAGGACGCCCTTCTTCGGCCCGCTGAAAACGTCCTCCCAGAAAATGTCAGCCTGCCCCTACAAGGAACCCCATCAAGAAGGAACCCTGAAAAGGGGGGGGGCCCAGGGAAAACCCCCCCTGGGCCTCCCAAGCCAACCTGGTAAGACCCCAAAAACCCAACTGTTTCACAGGTGTTTTTCCAATAGAGTTTTCCTGTGGAACCCTGGTTTTTCTCCTTTTACTGACAGGCACTGGCCTCCCAGGCTGCTCCAGACCAACTGGCCATCCCCACCCCAGAATGTTTCGTATACTGTATTACATGTTCTTAACCCCTTTTTCCTTCCTGTCTTACGTGTCTCTTAAACCTTCTCTACCGCGGTTCTCGGTCTTAGAATTACCCAGGTTAAGATCTACCTGGTTTGTCCCTGACGCTGGGTGCTCTTCCCGTTCTCTACCCTGTCCCCTTTGCTAATAATATTTGTTACCTGTTGTCTTCTTTAAATACCTGTTATCCACCCTGTTTCCGCTTACCGGGTCTCTGTCCCTGTTCCTGTACTGTGTCTTACCTTTTATCTCCTAGATGAACCCTGGTTCTGCTCCTGTCTTCTCGCTAATACATTGGTCTTATCTGTCTTTGCCTAATACCTGTTTACCTTTCGTACCCTGTCGTCTACCTGGTCTTCCTTCTACTGTGCCTCCTATCCTGGTCCTCTACCCTAATAACTTGTTTTTATCTTTACCTGTCTTACCTGTCTTCCTTCCTTGCATGTTAACCCGTGTCTCCTACCTGTTTTCTATCTCGCTTTAAATACCTGGTACCTCTATTCTTGTCTCCCCTTTTTTAAATACCTGGGTATCTACCCTGTCTTACGCTGTTCTTTCATTCCTTGTCTTCTTAAAGATTACCTGTTCCTGTTTTTTTACTTTCGTCTACTGTCTCTTGAATTCACTGTTCTACCTGTCTCCCTGCGTAGAATACCTGTTTCTTTCTGTCTCTACCCGGCTCTTCCTAAATTACAATGTCTTCCTATTCCTGTTTTCTAATGACCTTGTATCTTACCCCTGTCCTTTAACCTTGTCTTCAATTTCCTGGTCTCTTAACTTTCTTCTTAATAACCCTGTGTACTACCTGTCGCCCTGACCTGTCTCTTACCTGTTTTTTCCTCAATTTCTGTTTCGTACCGTGTTCTCTCCATTCTGTGCTCAGACTGTCTCTACCCGTTTTTAAAACTGGTTCCCTCTCTCTTTCCGTCCTCCTTACCTTGTTCTCCTTTCTTTTTCTCTTACGGGTCTTTCTCTAAATACCCTGTCTTCCTGGTTCCTCTAGCATGGGTCTCTCTAATACCGGTGCTTCCTTCTAATACCTGTCTTCTAGTCTACATGTCGTTCTCATTTTCTTGTCCTCTACCTGGTTCTTTCTGGGTTTTTCTCTAACCTTCTGTCTCCTAATACCTGTTTACCTCTTCCCTGGATTCTATAAATGTCTTCCTCTAAATACTTGTCCTCACCGTTTTCTCCTTAATACCCTTGTTTTCATCCTCTTACATGATTTCTCCTT